CCCCCCCCCCCCCCCAGCCCCCCCCCCCCCCTGAGCCCCTGTTCCTCTGCAGCTCTTCAGGCCCAACGGCATCACCACCGGGTACAAAACCTTCCTGCACCTCCATGATCCGGCCTGGAGGAAGAGGGACCAGAAGAGGGTGGCCGCCCAGAAGCAGGTACCAGAGACCGCCATGTTTACCCTCGTTTACAGTGTTTTATGGAGTAATTCTGACTCTTTTTGGGCTTTTTATGACGTTTAATGGCTGCTTTGTGCTTCTCTTTGGTGGTTTAATCGTGTTTTTGTCCATTTATTGTTTTTTCTGGTAGTTCTATGGCTGAAGAGCATTTTTTCCTATGGTTTTTTATCTTTTTGTGCTCGTTTTGAGCGTTTTATGGTATCATTCTGCCTCTTTTTGGGCTTTTTATGACGTTTAATGGCTGCTTTGTGCGTCTCTTTGGTGGTTTAATCGTGTTTTTGTCCATTTATTGCCTTTTTTCTGGGAGTTTTATGTCTGAATTGCCTCTTTTTCCATTGTTTTTTAATCTTTTTTGCTCTTTTATTTGTGTTTTATGGTATAATTTAGCCTCTTTTAGTCTTTTTATGACTTTTAATAGCTCTCTGGGTGTTTTTGTGATGGTTTTCTGTGCTTTTATCCATTTATTATTATTATTTTTTATTTTTATGTTTGAATAAAATTTTTTTCGATTGTTTTATGTCCTTTTGTGCGTTTTAAAGAAGAATTCTGCCTCTTTTTGGTCATTTTATGACGTTTAACTGCTGCTTTGTGTGTCTTTTTGATGGTTTTATGTTCTTTTGTCCATTTATTGTTTTTCCTTGTAGTTTTATGCCTAAAATGCCTCTTTTTCCATTGTTTTTTATCCTTTTGTGCTTGTTTTGTGCGTTTTCTGATAAAAATCTTTCTTGTTAGTGCTCGTTTTCTGGTATAATTTTTCCTCTTTTGGTGATTTTATGACTTTTAATGCTCTCTTTAGGTGGTTTTGTGGGTCTTTCTGTAGCTCTCCTGTCAGTATTTCCCAGTCTCACCATCTCTAATGAATCCTTAAACCTTTTCTTCTCGCTCTGGCTCCAGGAGCAGTTTAAGGTGGACCCTGAGGGGGGGCTGACCAACCTGCAGTACCAGGTGGAGTCCCGGCAGGAGCTGACCATCAGCGGCGCCCCCTGCACCATCATCAACACCAAACTGGTGTGTGACCAGGACAAAACGCCCTGGTGCATGCTGGGATAGCGCCCCAGACGGTCTGACTCTGGAAACACACGTTTTCCTCCTTTTTCAGTCCAACAAACTGCTGTTTAAACATGAACTGAACCTCCATTTTCTTCCTTTAATCGTTCGTCAGAGTTACAGAGACTGAGAGACTTCTTTTTTTTTTT